AAAGTAGACGTTGCCGCTACTTTTCCATACCCCACGACTGACGTGTGTATGTGTGAGTAGCGGTGTAATATCGTCTCCTGAGACTCTGCAGCTGTATTTTATATGTATATACACCCAACTGTCTGAAACGTCAAAACGTTAAACATATCAGTATGTAGGTCTGTATTGCGAGTGTGAGCGAACACACACAATGAAAGTAAAAGAGTCCATGAACTATTCTCTCTCCTCCTCTTCCTCCTCCTCCTCCTCCTCCTCCTCCCCCAGTCACGAGGACGGCTCTGTCAAGTTCTGGGACGTAACAGGATCCATGAGACTCATATATGAACTGACCACAGCCAACCTCTTCGTGGGTCAGGACCCCGACACTACAATGGACGATTTTTCAGACTTTAAGTGGCCTCCTTACAAGAAGGTCAGCTCGTACGACAACTTTGAGGATGACGGCCGGCTGGCTGTGAGATTCATCGAGATGTGTCCGTACTCGCGGACGCTCTGTGTCGCTGGCGGTGGAGGGCAGGTCCTCACGTTCTCCCTGAATCTGATGCCGAGCGACATCAGACTGGAGGTATGACAGACTCGGGGAATGACCGCATGAGATTGTGTGTGTGGGTACATGTGTCAATCTGTGGAAGGCTGTTTAGTGCCAGGTTGTTAGGTGCAGGCTTTTGTTGCCAATCGAGTTACATGTTTGTAAGTAGTTCTACTCTAGTTGATTTAGAGCAGCTGTGTACTAGATGATTGACGTTTAACCCCTTGATTCCCTCCTCCCTGTTTGCTCAGTGTGCCAAGGCAGAGATCTTCATGGGGCAAGAGACTTCCCAGCGAGTCACGGGGTTGCGCAATACCGCCCCCCTCCAGAGCAAGCCGGATCTCATTCCTCTCCCGGCCGGGTTCCAGGCGAACTTTAACCTCCAACTGATGCCAGCAACAAACGTCACGGCAGTGGCTTTTGAACCCAGCTGGGGCCTGTGAGCATTCTCTGCCTCCCTCTCTCTCTCCCTCCCTCTCTCCCTCTCTCTTTTGTGCCTAATGATATTCCTGAATTAACAACAGGCACTGTCACCATACCATAATGTTCTGTAAAATATTTCACATCATAACTCTTCCTACCTCAGTGTGGCAGCTGCTAATGGAAAGGGGTTTGCTGTGGCCAACTTTATCCTGAAGCACATCATCGTAGTCCATCCCACCGTCTCTGCCGATGGGCTACAGAGCCGCTCCATAGGGAGGTGGGTGTGGCCTCGTGTCATGTGACAGTCACATGCACTATTATGCGCGGTATATAGTGAAAGTTGTGTATGGAGACAGGAAAAGCTTCCGTCCTGTTATCTCCATTTAGTATCATCCGTTTGTTTTGTGTGTCATTTTCTATCGAACATGATGGCATTTCTTAGCACACACATTTACTCTTTGTTTCGTAGAAAATAGGAACTAATGGTGTGTTTAGTATATTATTGATGATAAGTACACGGTGGACATGTATTACCTACCTACAGTACATGTCAGTGCATACTGCGTGTTGTTTAGTGTTCAGATGTAGAGATGATGGTCTTGGTTCCATTCCAGGGTCCAGTCATTCCGTCGTTCCATGAGGAAGTCGTTTCGCAGTCGCTCGCGAAGCACGTCCAGCATCTCTCTCTCCACTTCTGCCCCTACCGACATTGCCAACGACCGCAAGAAGATTGCGCAATCTCTCAACCGAGAAGCCGGGATGAAGGAAAGGGGCGGAGCTAGGGGGCGGGGTGGGGGAAGGGGGCGTGTCCAGTCGGAGTTGGTCACGGCGGGAGGGAGAGGGGAGCGAAGCCAGTCTCCCCTCGGTTCCGACCAGGTCCCTGCGGAGATGATGGGTGTAGTCAGTCACCTCAACTTTGCCGAGACATTCGTGTCAGGTCAGTTGGGGTTAAACGTAGCCTCGAGAGAGAGAGAGGGGGGTTAAAAGTGGGCCTCAAGAGAGAGGGATAAAGGGGTTACCTCGAGACTCTCTAGTTTATGAAGAAATTTGATGGAAAAACTCATCATTCTTCAACCACAGAATTTTTCATTATATTATAGTAGACTTATTAGTGCGTGTTACATGTTTTCACTTGTCTGTGCGTGTGTTAGGAGGGACCCCATCCGCCAGTCTGTTTGCATCCACAATGGGATCGTCTGTTATCAGATACTCCATCTCCCTCCCTCACCCCGACAACCGACTGGTAAACGTGAACACCGCTACTCCAGTCGGTACGGTTTCTCCCTGTTCTAATTAGAGCACACCATCACTAAATACTGTATCACACATTCTGCCTTATACACACACATGATATAAAGATTGCACCTCTGAGTTCTAATTATAGCACACATTACATCATCATTGCATCATAATTATACAGGGAAGGACTACGCCCTGTTGCATGCGGCTCCGGTGGTGGCAGTCTTCATTCTGGACCACTCTTGTGTCCCTGTTCCATGTCCGTACGAGGTCCAGTCCAAAGCAGTACCGGCTCCGGACATGCACTCTCCTCACTTTGCTCTCATCTGCACTCAGGAGCAGCTCAAGGTGAGGAACACCTACATACCTACATGTACAATCGACTGTAACTAGAAACTTTATGCATCCATTACTACTGTGTAGTTGGTTTGTCTCTTCTTCCATTCTTGTGCCTGCAAAAAATGCGAAATCGTTGACACCTTTATTATAGTGAAATTTGGGCGAGATAGGGATTGGTGCAGCAAGATGGCAGATGTTACCATTCCATACTCCAACTGTAATCAAAGTATTAAAGATAGTTGGTTTGTCTCTTCTTCCACTCTTGTGCCTACAAGAAATGCAAAATCATTGAGACTCGTATTTAGGGAGGATATAATAGTGAAATTTTGGCGAGATAGGGATTGGTGCAGCAAGATGGCAGATGTTACCATTCCGTACTCCAACTGTAATCAAAGTGAACACGGCTGGCAGGATATGTATGATCCACTAAAACCAAAGTATTTGTGAAAAGCCCTTTCACCAAAAAGTATTTTCAAATAAACCCTCTCTCTCTCTCTCTCTCTCTCTCTCTCTCTCGTTGTAGCTGGTGAATCTGCCGGGCATGAAACAGAAGAAGAAGGAGAAGGTGTCGGAGTTAATCCAGGAGAGAATCCTCCGGGCGTGGATCGTGAGGATAAAGGTCCCCGCGGCCCCGATCGGCGCCAATAGGGACTGGAACTCCGCCGTGGCAATCCTAACGAGCGGGGGCAACCTCATGGCCTACTCTCTTCCCGACCTGAGGAACTGCTTCAACTACAACGAACTGGTCGTCCCAACTGACCACAAGTAAGTAAAGTTAATGTGGCAGGCTAAATATAGAGAAAGTGGCTACGTGCCTTAGTATGACACGGTGCCTGCTTTGTTTGACTCCTGAATTAATCTATAGTAGGAAGTTGAAATTTCCTCCTCTCCCTTTCCTCCCTCCCTCTCCTCCCTCCCTACTCGTCCACAGAGCCATGCAGTCAGTGTCCCTGTCAGCCAATGGCGAGGTCCTCTTCCTCAAGTCGGATTCTGAACTGGAGAGATCTCTCATCTCCTCTTACGGCTTGTGAGTCCACCCATTGCGTCATCATTACATCATCATTATGACCCATTACATAATCGAGTGTGCCATAGGCTGTTTTTCCTTAAACTACACTCTACGAGTTATGTAAGCATGGTGCTCATTGCATGTACATAATACCACCACGCTGGCACATAGCATGGGATTGGCAATTCCAAATAATGATCACCATAATCTTGGTTAACTTTTCCTCCCTCTCTCCTTCCTTTGAACAGCTCATACCACACTACCATGCTGCCAAATATATTCCCGTTCGAGGGTTCCACCGGCCCTGCCCAGCAACCGACTCCGCCCACTGCCCCACCCGACCCGGTCTGCGAGGTAACGGTGGAGGTGACGATGGAGCAGGAGGCGGAGAACGAGGAGAAACGAAGCCGAAGATCCCAGACTCCCTCCCCCGAGGAGCCACGCCCCCCTCCGCCGGTGGCCGGCCCCGGCAGTAAGTATTGCTGAAGAGATTTCCTGTTTTTGAAAATAGTTAGTGTCCTGATTAGTCAGGGGTTTTCAAAGGAAATACATGAGATGTCTTTATTAGTGAGGTGGTCTGAGGCACTGTGCCAATCTCCACCAGCGGGCTATAATTGGAGAAGAGACACATGTTTGTTGCTATGGGCCAGTCCTAATCTCCGAGTGGGGGCATTTTGGCAGCTGCATCGCCACAACCTGTACTTGCTTAGACCACGTATCCCAGCAACCGAGCTCGGTACAGCCGGGACCCTTACATAGAGGTCTGGTCCCTGTAGTGCCACATAATATAGACCACAGTATCTCATTGTGTGCGGTGTGTATAATGGCGTGTCAAGTGTACTGTCTGAAGTGGATGGTCAATACAGATCTGAGGCGTCCTTTTACCTGGCAAATTAGCACACTACACACACAGTTGGCCCATTTTGCTGGCTTTTGTGGAGGTGTGTGCCCCATTGAGTGGAGCGTCACCGTTTGCGTCTGCATTATATTGACTGTCAGCCTCTGACTAGCTCAGTATCCAGCTCTGCAGTGAGCAATAGGAAGTGTGTTTTAAGCAGTGCTGTGTATACTTGCTAGCTATAGTCCTGTCTAGCCTTGTACATACGTAGGTGTGGTACGTATAGTGAGCTCTGTAATAGAAGTGTGTGTGGTGTGAGAGAGCTCCCTGCTATGGACTCCTTCTGCTGCTGTTGGCCAGGTTTGTATGATCACTATGATGTCCTGTAGAGTGGAAACGTAACCGGGGTCACCATGAGGCCACGATAGTACGCGGTTGACATCTGTGAGACATTATACCTACACATCATTTGACATTTCACAGAGCCACGCAGCTTATTGTGCATGTCCACTGAGACACTGAGAGTTTCATGAAAGGTTGTGCTGCAGTTTTAGCTGCATGCCAAGTGTCGTAGCTATATATGCAGTACACACACACACACTAGTGAACCATAGTCGTGGAAGAGTGGGAAGATGTTGTGTTCTGTGGTAGGCAAAAGCTGCTATAACTCACCAACCAAAGATTTACTTTGTGCCGCAATCAACACTAAGTAACCAATTTTGTGTGCACTATTTTATACCAAAGAAAGACCAAATGAAGCAGCTCCTATTATATACAAAATGAACAATACTCAGAGATGTGATTTTCCAATGTGTGGTGTCATGTTGCTTTGTGTATCTTAGCTGTGTTCTTTTATTTTTCATGTTTTGAGCCATCCCTATACCGTCTTCATTTTGAATAGAATTGACTCCATTCCATTCTTTCACAGCATCTCCGAAGAAGAAGAAGAGAGTTCAAAGTCCAAACGTCGTTCCAGGGAGTCGAAGGAGTCAAGTGTCCCACGTCCTCATTCTCCCCCCTCGGGTACGGCGATCAGCGAGGGGGCGGGAGGGGGCGGAGTCAACGGAATCCTCGCCAGCCCCGAGAGGAACGGAGGGACCGAGGTGTCCGAGGGTAAGTGGTTGCTATGGCAACAGTCACCGTAGTAGCACGATGTTGAAAATGGCTCTCACACACACATACTCCCCCCCCCCTCTCTCTCTCTCTAACAGGTAGAGACAAGGCCCTCATGGCGAGTGCCACTGCCTTCAAAGAGCTCCAGAAACAAAGGTATAATAATATACCACAATGCACCCTCTCGTCTGTCGGCGAACACTTCAACACACATCCCCTTCTATACATACATACATAGGTCATGTCATCTCTATGCATTATAACCTACAGGTACATAGAAACTAAGGCTCTATACAATAGTACATAGAAACTAAGGCCTACACTGAGCATCTTCTGCCAGGGAACCTTTTCTTTCCCCACTTCTTGCATGCAATTCACCCCTATACATGGGCACTGTCTTCACCCCTATACATGGGCACTGTCTTCACTCCCTCCCCTTGGTACTAGAATTAGAGGTTTGCTCCATTTCTCAGCAGACACGGCTCGACGTCAGAGGACTCCTCCAGCTCAGACGACAGCTCCAGCTCTAGTGACGACGAAGACGATATCCCGATGCCAGTGGTCCCGGACACCAGCGCCAATCCAGTTGCCTTCCAGAACCCGTACGCCGTGGAGCTCATGGGGGTAGTGTTGGGGTGGGACGGACGCCAGCGTCTTCTAGTCTAACGTAATCCGTGCACGGCAGGAATTTTTCCGTTATAGTTTGCGTAAAATTTCCGCTTACCTCCCACTATATGGCCTCCTTTGCCGTTGGAAATGTCTTTACTGTTCTTTTGGTTGGTGTGTGCAATGACTTCCATTGTATCAGATGACAAAATTTCAACAGTTCAAGCACTGTACTCTTAGCATAGTAAAGATGGCCGCGAGCTGCAGTAATCGTGGACACACACGCATCCACACTGTCTGTCACAGGGAAAGGAGTTGGACAACATCATCGCCACGTCACTGAAACAGCTGGAGAGCGCCAGAGATTTCTACGAGAAGATGCAGGCCCAGGTCAAGAAAAGCTGATCAAAACTCACCATCTTCTTCGTCCTAGATTCCATTTTCATATGCATGTTTTCGTGGTGATTTACACCTTGTCTCTTTCGTCGAATTCTTTACTTTTTACATTTTTTATGCCGAAAACTTAGTTTGTTGCTTATATATTATTATTATACATTATATTTAGCAATCACAATATGTAATGACGTGTATTATTGATATGCCCTCTAAATTAAAATATTATGTCACGAAATGTGTAGACAATCTTTGTATGATGTAATTATGATGTCATTGATTTTTTTGACCATGAGAGAAAGATGATAGATGGACACTCAATTACTGTGTGTGTGTGGGGGTGGATAGTATTCAGAGAGACCTTCGGCCACGGGATCGTCTTCTTGCTGTCAATTTCTCGTAGCGGGAGCTGAGAACAGTGGATCCTCTCACCTTCTTCCCTGCTAGTCGACTACTCCCGGCACTCCTCACAACCTGTAGTGACCGAGGTCTGTAATGTGCCCCATCTTTACTTCACCTTATATACCACAGCTAATAATTAATGGAACTAATACTGCTAATACTTGATAGAGTATATACATTCCTACTTTTACGTGGACCAATATATCGTACTTGAAGTGTAATTCTGTCTGGCAGAAATGTGCACACATGCTGGCCTAACATTCCCGTCGCTATGACCCAGTATACTGCCGTCCTAGTGATGAAAGAAAACCTTTTTCTTTTGCTCCAAAGGAGGTGTAGAAGTCACAGCAGTCAGCCCCTTTCTCTCTCCCTCTCCCTCCTCTTGACCCAATGTCTGAAGTCCACCAACATTCTCTTCTTCCTCCTCCCTCTCCTCATCCTCACCCACACTGCTCAGTTTCACTCTTTTCACGAGCGGTCCCTCACCCAGGGGGACCAAAAGTTTGGCCTCGGGGGGCAGGGAGTGGTGGATGGGGAGAGCCACGGAGTCAACAGTCTTCAAATGTACCACCTGAATGTTCCTCCATCCTCGAGGCACCCTGTTGACCACGCCCCTCAAACCCTTCACAATGTTCTCAACAATGTGGGCAGTTGGGTAGTCGATCCTGGCTATTGGCAGAGCTCTAGTATATAGGAGAGACGGTTCGGTACAGAATCAGAATTGTACTAAAGATAGAAATTAACCATAGGGCCAAGTGCAAGAATGCAATTAGTTTCCCGTTAATATTTCGTAGTCCGTGATATTATACTGCCACATAGAATCCACTTTGCCACGCATCAGAGAAAAATAATAATGCCAGCAAACTAGGCCCTAAAGACCACAGGCTCTTGACAGGCAGCTGTAGTGCAACACAATGGAGTAAAAAGGTGCATCCTAGACACCAAGAAGAGAGGGAAGAGATGAAGCGAGAGAGGGAAGAGATGAAGTGAGAGAGGGAAGAGATGAAGCGAAGAGATGAAGTGAGAGAGGGAAGAGATGAAGTGAGAGAGGGAAGAGATGAAGTGAGAGAGAAGAGATGAAGCGAGAGAGGGAAGAGATGAAGCGAGAGAGGGAAGAGACGAAGCGAGAGAGGGAACAGACGAAGCGAGAGGGAAGAGATGAAGCGAGAGAGGGAAGAGATGAAGCGAGAGAGGGAAGAGACGAAGCGAGAGAGGGAACAGACGAAGAGAGAGGGAAGAGATGAAGCGAGAGAGGGAAGAGATGAAGCGAAGGAGAATGTAGGGACTCACACGCAGGAGCCAAGGCCCAGGTGGAGGTAAGTAGAATCACGAGCAGCTGCAATTTCTCGCGTCAAATCCTGCTTCTGTACATCCACTGGAAACGGGAACCTTTTGAACAAAAGACACAAATAATACAGAATACAGTGAAACAGGGACACCTTGGGAGCACCAGAAGTGTCCCTTATTCAGAGGTATATACACTGAGGGTATAGGGCAAAACCAAGTGCCATTATAGAGACGTATGTATCCTCTATTTGAAGGGTCCTTTTCAGAGGTTAGACTCTCTAGAGTCAGTTATATAGAAGAAAAGTCACACCTCTTCTTTACGAAGAAACTCTTGCCAAGCTGACGAGGAAGAAGATGGTAAATCCGGCGGTCAGCCAGGTACACGTCGTAGTAGGCCGACAGCTGCTTCTTGGAGTCATAGGATTTGTAGTCCGTCTTCAACTTGTCCAGTGGTATGACCTACGTTGAAAGGGAAGAGAGGGAGAGAGAGGGAGAGAGAGGGAGGGAGGACAAAAGAGATCTTAGAGCTATGTAGAAGACTCACCTTTGTAATGTTTTTGACTCCCTTTCTTTCCAGCAATCCCTTGGCTGTCTTTTTGTCGGTGCGCGAGAAGAGACAGAGCTCGGTTTCCTCGGGAGGATAAAGGGAGTGGGGGATGGGACTGGAGAGGAGGAGGGAGACCCTTATTCGGAGGTTACACTATAGACTAACAAATTGCTAGTATACAAGTCAGAACTAAGTGTGTGTCCTTTATTTAGGCGGAGGTTTCATACATTCTGTAAGGTCTGCGGGTCTTGTTTGGAATCTTCTTGAGCCCAATAATGAGGGAGACGAGCGGGTTTTCCTCAATTAGCCTCTTCTTCCTCTCTAGCCGGGTCGAGTGGAACTTCTGCAGGGCCAGCACCGCCTGCCTCACCTGCAGCCGGCCGGACACAGTTAGTGGAGCAGGAGCCGCGCCAAATTGGCAGGAATGCAAGCGAAGCACACACAACATAACTGCGTACATGTAGACGCACGCATAAGCTAACACAGACACTGACTTGAGCCTCGTCCATCTTCCGGCGTTCACACAGAGAAGACGAAAGGCCTTGGCTTGTAGAGAAGTCACACGTGGGTCGACGCAAGAAATTTTAAAAAGGGCGTTTCGTTCAATTGGATATGCTAGGCTGCTTCGGCCCTAGAAGAAAAGGATACTGCGTCAACATGGGAGCGTCCAACACGAAGGAGGCTTTCCGGACCGCGGTGCTGGACCTCGTCAACAACCAGCAGGTGTGAGGAGAGGGCGGGGGGGCGCCGGGCTGCTCGGTGTGTGCGTCTAGAGAGCGTGGGAGGCTGGTTTTTGGGTGTGGTCTTATCATACATTATCTGTGGTAAAATACAGTCATCAAAAGGTAGCACCCTGCACTTCCCGTTCCCCCTTCCCCCTTCCCTTAATGTTAAGGTTGTGAATTGCATTTACGAAAGACACCATTATAATCCTCTCCTCCCTCCACCTCTTCCCCCTCCCTCGCCAATCTCCTCATCCTCTCCTCCCTCCACCTCTTCTCCCTCTCCTTGCCAATCTCTGCTGCCCAGTCTATCACTACGCAGGACGACTCTTTCTGGGAGCGCTACTGGGCGGACACCTCTCTCTCTGCCTACGACTACTTTGCTCTCATTTCCTCCATCGACATTCGCAATCTGAGAGATACTGCATCTGGCAACCTCACTGCACTCTGCTTCAAGGTGAGTCTTCTCTCTCCCTTCTCTCTCCCTCTTATCTCTTCTCTCTCTTCCTATTTCTCATTCCCATCCCCTCTTTTCTCTGTGTTATTGAGACCGCATATGTATGCACATTACAACAGGTTGTTGAGAGGATCAGTGCTGCCACGGCAACCGCTTGTAGCGGACCCAACGAACATGTTATAGGTATGCAATTTCTGAAACCCCTCCCACTCTCCCTTGTACTACTAGTATTGATGATTTTCTTTCTCTAGAGTCTCCCTCCCTCCCGTCTCTACCCCTCCCTCCCTCCCTCTCTCCTCTCTCCCTCTCCTCTAGTCCTGAACTGTGTTCGTCTCCTCACTCGCATTCTCCCATTCCTGTTCGAAGCCAGGACTGGCGACTTCTGTTCTGGTCTCCTGCCAATTTCATCAAGGTTCTCTTGCATGTCCTGATTGTTCTAATGTCCTGATCTTAGGTCGTCCTGAACTGGTTCAACGTTCTTGCATGTCCTGATTGTTCTAATGTCCTGATCTTAGATCGTCCTGGACTGGTTCAACGTCTCTTGCATGTCCTGATTGTACTAACGCGTCCTGATACTAAGGTTGTCCTGATCTCAAAACTGTCCTGAAAAGTAGTGATTTTCCAAATTTCCGTCTTTGAAACGTACTACTTTGGCACATATCCAACGTTTCCCTTAGTGACTATAACAACTGTATTTCCAAATGTTTTGTTTTGCGTCAGTAATGCAAACTTATGATAAAAAATCAATCTGAAAAGTGCTTTTCACATACTTAAAGTCAATAACAGAGATTCAGCCCCCGTCCCTTTGAAAACACGAAAGTATGATGTAATGTGTATAATGGTGTCTCGTTTCCATGGTGATGTCGCTGTCACAGACGGATGAGGGGGATCAGCCGCAGGCACTGGCACAGGTCCTTCTCAACTCCCTCGCTGTAAGCCACACCCACCAATCACCACTACCATAGGGGGTGTGGTTAACTCCACCTCCTGACACGCACACACACTTCCCAATTCATACGCATGCATAAGGTACATACCTTTTATACAGTGCATGGAACGATTCTCTGAGGACACCCCTGAAATGATGATGTAATTATTAGGGCACCTTCTCTTTCCCCAAGAACAGTTCTTATGTGCCTGACTTAGTAAGGACACCTCACTAATCGGTCACTTTCTTCTGTCCCATTGGTGTCCGGATTAGAATGGTTCCACTGAATCACGTGGCTCTATCTACATGTTTGTGTCGTGTGGTGCAGGATCTGCTGTTCTGCCCAGACCTCACGGTCCTCCCCAAGGCCAAACAGGGTCCAGAGAATCCAGACGACCTCTCCTCGCTGGACAGCTGCGAGTACATCTGGCAAGTTTAACCTCTAACCTCTCCCCTTCTCTCTCTCCTCCTTCTTCTCTCTCTCCTTCTTCTTCTTCTCTCTCTCTCCTCCTTCTTCTCTCTCCCCTCCTTCTTCTCTCTCTTCTTCTTCTTCTCTCTCTCTCCTTCTTCTTCTTCTCTCTCTCCTTCTCTTAGTGTAACAGGTAAATAGAAAATTCGTCATACTTTTCTATATAGTGATATGGTCAAGGGAAGGATTATAGTTTTCTCTGTACACTGGTTGTCATAGTGATGTGTCATGTGACCTGCAGGGAAGCTGGAATTGGTTGCCTGGCATCGCCGGGGACGACCAAACAACTAGACCTCAACAGAGCTGAGATCATAAAACTCCTCATCACTTGTTTCTCAGAGTCTCTCTACCTTGACCCTGTTGGTGAGGAAAGGGTTAATTTTCTGTAATCTAGTGAACAGTGGGTTAAATGTTACAGTGGTGAAAGAGTTATTTCTTTCTCCAGAATTGAACCAGCCAAACAGGTGGTTGGCCCACTTCACCTCACCTGAAAACAGGTCAGTCCAGATTATCAAACTGGTCGGTCCCAATAGTTATGTAGACTGACATGCATTCTCAAACTGGCCAGTCCTGATTCCTAAACTGATCCACAAACTGGTCAATCGTGATTTACAAACTGGTCAGACTGACCTATATTATAGTATAAATCTGTAGTGAAATTCAACTAGACCAAGACAAGATCGGTCAGTCCCGATCAGTGAACGGGTCGACCCATATTCAGTGTAGAAGGTGAAAGTGGTCAGAGACGAAATTTCCCAAACCCCAACCGCATTCCTGTTGGTGTCCACTGAATGTATTAACGATTTTCAAGATGCTTTCGTGTTGGTACACAAACATCCACTCCACTAGTGTCCATTAACTCGTCATCTGTGCTAATGTATAATACCATTCACAGAGCTTGGGGTTTGCCTTTGCCTTCACTGTGTTGTATTATATATACTGTTGTTGATTTTGTGCCCTCCCTGCTGTGCTCCATGAGTAGAGTGCACTCTGCCTAGACAGCAGAGTCTTGTGAGGTCAAAGTCCTATCCGCAGCTGCTCTTTCTAAACTCTCAGTGGGTAGAACACTCTGCCTAGACAGCAGAGCCTTGTGAGGTCAAAGTCCCACTCAGGGCAGCTGTTTCTAGAGTGTTCAGTTTAGGTGTTGTTGAACGTTGCTTGTCTTGTGTCTATGTTTCGTGTTGCAGACACGTGTTACCTCTTCTTACATCACTCCTGAATGTCGTCTGTACCTATGATCCTGTCGGTTATGGCGTCCCGTGAGTTATCCACCATCCACACTCTGATTTCTTCTCCCCTCTCTCTCTTCTCTTTCATACCTTTCCGCTTCTCTTTCCAAACGTAATATTTGGTCACGAGCGCACACTATTGGAGGCTTAACTACACTGCCTTTGTTCCTACATATGTGCATTGTACATACTTCTTCCAAATTGTTGGAAAAATTATGTACATTTCTGGAGTTTGGCAAAAAAGAGGCTTCACAAATGTCACTGAATTCTAGTTAACTAGGAGTAATAGCAAAAAAGCTTATTTTATCCGTAATTGCCCACTCCCTCTCCCTCTCCTCTCCCTCTCCTCTAGTTACTACTATGCTCTGGTCCAGGACCCCAGAGGAGACCTCGTCGAGGCTGCCGTACATCTCCTCATTATCCTCCTCGACTCCAACCCTCCGTCGCCAAGACAACAGGCCCCGCCCTCCTCACGGTCTCACGCCGTCTCCCAGCAGCAGAGGGGCGGGGCCATACAGACGCCGATCCTGAACGAGCCGGGGATGGCAAACCTGTTTTGCGGGTTTGTATCTCGTCTTCACCAGAACGACGTAAGTTTAAGATCCCCTCCAGTTCAATGTACTGACATATGTAGTAGCATGAAAGTGAGGAAACTTCCAGAAATCGGTAGGAAATGGAAATGTTGCGGATTGCCAATGGAATTGGTTGTCTGCAAATTTGTGTAGGTTTTGCTGTGTAACTATATAATTATACGTACCTGTACATTATGACGTAATACTGTGTGTAAATGTGTATATAGGATCTGGAGCTGTTGGCTAAGGGGTTTATGGGCCTTCTCTGCAACCCACTGAAGCAGGTGAGCAAAACGTACAGAGAACCGTGCCATGCACGACATGTACACATTCAGTAATTACGCGCTGTCCCTTACTAGTACATACATATTTCCCTCACTAGTACATACATACTTCCCTCACCCACCAACCAATAGCACCACACACACACATACATCCATTCCACTGATGCACCCTCACATCATGCTACTACTACAGGTGAACAATGCTCACTTTCTTCGCTCCCCTTATCTTGTGCCCTCCCCCCCCTTCCTCCTCTCTCCAGACCTACCTTCCTCGCTCGGTAAAGAAGATCTTCTTCACCCAAGAACTCTACATTCTGGTCTGGAAGATGTTTGAACTCAACAAGAAGTTCCTGGTTCACGTTCTTCGCAGTCCTCACCTCTTTGACCTCATCGTCCCCCTCCTTCACCAGCTCCTCGAGACACGCACCAATCCCGGTGAGTCACAATGACATCACCATTACGTCATCATTTTATTAAGTGGAACCTCCCTAATCAAGACACCGATGGACAGAAGACAGTAGTGAACATATTTCAGTGGTTTAGTTGCATGCAGAATTTGGTAGAAGAAAAGGTGTCCTTATTAGTGAGGTGTCCTCATTTCAGGGGTGTCCTTAGAGAGGGTTCCACTGTATTGAGGTATATTAGCAGTTTTATCTGAGAACTGCAAACGTTTACTCGCTTCAAGCATTTTGATACACCTGTGTGCCTTTTGTCTCCTCCCGTCTTTCTCTCTCTGCCCAGCCCTGGTCGGGATGCTTCATCTTGGTATCTTCATTCTTCTCCTGCTGAGTGGGGAGAGAAACTTTGGCGTGCGGCTCAACAAGGCCTTCGTCCAGAAACTACAGCTCCCTGACATTCCACGGTTTACCGGTTCCCATGCCGACCTGCTCTTCCTGGTGAGACTGGTGTCCTGATCAGTGGGGTGTCCTGATTAGTGAGGTGTCCTGATCAGCGGAGTGTCCTGATTAGTGGGGTGTCCTGATCAGCGGGGTGTCCTGATTAGTGGAGTGTCCTGATCAATGGAGTGTCCTGATTAGTGACGTGTCCTGATCAGTGAGGTGTCCTGATCAGTGGAGTGTCCTGATTAGTGGAGTGTCCTGATCAGTGGAGTGTCCTGATTAGTGAGGGGTCCTGATTATGGTGAGGTTTCTTTATTTAAAAATGCCTCCTGATGAATTATACCAGTTTTCTGACTGTTTGTTGTTGTTGTTGTTGTTGTGTTGTCCAGGTATTTCACAAGATCATAACGAGCGGGCTCCCTCGTCTACAGCCACTCTACGACTGCCTTCTCACCATCATGGTCAACAGTGAGTACTCCCCCCCCCCCTCTAAACCAGTTTCAAACCTGTTTTTCGTATCTGGCAGTATCGCCGTATCTCAAGACGCTCTCCATGGTAACCTGTGCAAGACTAATGCACCTTATGGAGGTAAAGTAAAGACGTATAGACTGTGTTGTTGACTAGAGCTGTTTGGCCCTGTACTGTACTTCTCACCTGTATGACTTGTGGTTTGAACATTAACCGTTAGAGGACACAGAGTGCATGGCTGAAATGCATCCAGTAGCTACTTTTAAACTTCTCTCCCTCCCGTCATCCATCCTCTCCCTCTTCTCCTCTCCATCTTCCCCTCTTTCCTCCCCCTCCCTTCTCTCCCTCCCTTCTCCCCGATAGTCATTCTCGACCCCGTGGTTCCTATTTGCCAAACCCAACAACCACTACCTCGTCTTCTATCTCCTCGAAATATTCAACAACATCATCCAATACCAGTTTGACGGTAGGCAAGACCGGTATTAAACCAGAAAAACACGTTCGAATCGTTCACACATTTCTCACCTTTCACACGTTGTACGATAGAAAGACCCGTGCAGCAGTCAACAAAACCAGTATACAAAAACCAGAAAAACACGTTTACTATATAGCTCATACATTTCACGCCTTTCACACACTAGATACAAATAGCGGTAATTTAAATTGAGAAAAACAGGATCGAATCGTTCGCACATTTCACACATCCTACGTACGATAGGAAAAAAACCCTAATGTAGGTATAATATACATTCAATGGGCATTTTTCACTCTCCACCGCATTGAGTACATTTTACTGTGGGAGCGTGATGTGCAAGTTGTTAGTTTTTATACAAAGGAACAATGAGTGTTGTTAGAAAGGGAGCGAGAGGGGAAGATCGTGTGTGTGGGATCTTGCAGCTGTTTTAGGCCCTCCCCCCCTGCTGCGCTGCCCCCCTCAACCCCACCCCGCACCCTGTATCCACCACACACAATGACAACAATGATGCAATAGTGATGTCGTTGTCAAAATTGACGGTAATTCGGTTTGCGTTTTGTTTTCATTATCACCGGCATCGAAGTCCCTTATCAGCCACATATTTACCATTCCCTCCCTCCCCCCCCCACCTCACTTTGTAATCATCCCTTATAGCCCATTACTGAGGCATGTTAGAATGGCCGGGAGGGTGCGAGAGAAAGAGCCGGCTCTTGTCGGGAGTAAAACTCAACCATCGTGACTGGAAGTCCTGTGCACTACGCACTGAGCCACAACTCCAAGACTAAAGCTGGTCTTTCCCCATTTCCCTCTTAAATACTATTTCTTAGTCATCCATCTACCAAGAACACAATTTATTCCCTGGCGTACCACCCAGTAAAAATCTATTGGTGTATTTGACCAGTAAAATTACAGGTTTAATGTGTGATTTTGACCGGTTTTTCAGGTAACACGAACCTGATATACTCGCTGATCCGGTCCAAGGTGGTGTTTTACCAGCTGGCAAACCTTCCCGAAGATTCGTACCTTCTTCTCACTCCCCACGCTCGGAACACCAGCCACCCCGGTATCACCAGTGCCTCTGACATAAATAACGGTAAGAGAGAGAAAGAGAGGGAGGGGAGGGGGGAAAATGGAGGGTAGTGTTTCACACACTGTTAGAAAGGTCCACTGTTATCGCTAAAACTCTATTTTGTACGTCCAAGTTTGCAGCAAGTTTTCTCTAGCGACGTTTTTGTTTGGGGAAAAGTTTTATCCCGATTTCTGAAAAAGGAGGGCGAGGGACGCTTGTGTAATGGTGCATAACACGACACCCCTTCTTCTGTGTCATCATCTCTCTCACACACACACAGGTGAATCAGAGAAGCCGCCAGACCAAGGCTCCTCTTCCTCCTCTTCATCATCCACCCTGTCAACGGCCCCCCAGACTAACAAATCTTCCCCCTCTCCGGGGGGCCACGTGGCAGAAATTGAACCCCCGGGGAAAATACAGACGGTGGAGGTCGAAGTTGAGGTCTCGTCAGCCGCTGCGGCGGGGGGAGAAGGGGGCGGGGAAGAGGGGGAGGGGCTTCACGGAGCAGAAGGTGCCGGGAAAATGGAGAAGATGGAGGAAGAGAGAAAAGGAACTAGTCAGGCTGTGGTGAGTGGTGTATTTGCTTGATTAGTGAAGTGTCCAACTGGGAAGGTTTGCTACAATGAAGTGTGCTAATAAATGGACTCGACTGGCAAGTGCCCTGATTAGTGTGGTGTCCTGATTGAACAAGTGTCCTGATTGGTGAGGTGTCATGAATAAAGAATTGTCCTGATTGAGTGAAGTGTCCTGTAGTGAGACTCCACCTAAACTCCTTTCTTCCCCACACAGCCACCTCCAGCCAGCAGCACCTCCTCTTCATCCACTGTCCCCCCAGCTCTCACGAGAGACACACTCCCTCAACACCAGACACTCAAGAAAGCCTCCAAGAAGAGGCTCAGCGGTGGCCCCAAGCCCCCAGTCTCCTTCCTCCCTCCTCCCTCTGCCTCCCCTCTCGAGCAGCAGAAACTCCTCTCTCTCTCGAGGGACGTGGGCGAGAGAAACAGGCAGCTGGTAGAGCCTCTCACACCGGATTTCAAACCAACGCCTGAATGGGTGGGCTATACACCATCTCACCACCACTTAGTTTGACACACTTTTTTCTCTCTCCCTTTCTCCCTTTCCCCCGCTTTTTTTTTTATACCTGTACCTACTTGTGTCTGCTGTCTTTCTGTTTTCCATGTGTATTATTCCTCCACCCATCTTTGTCAGCGGCAGAAAAAACGCCCCCCTCTCTCTCTCCGTCTTCTCTGCCTCGCTAGTATACACACCCATGTCTCTCTTTCTCTCATTCCGGGCAGGTTCGTAGCTGGAAGCAGAAGCTCCCTCTCCACACGGTGCTGAGGGTTCTGCAGGTCTTGGTACCTCAGGTGGAGAAACTCTGCACTGAACAGTGAGTGTTCATCCTGACACCGACACGCCGCGTAGTGTTCTGCTCACATCCGTGTAGCTCTATTGCAGAAAAAACAATCTCTGCCACTTTGGGTGTATGGGTATAGTGGTCCGTGACGCAATTTGATTGAAGTACAAGTAGTGGACTAAGAGTGAAAAAAAGACCCAAAGCAGGGAGAAAAAGACCTCTAACATCTTTCTCTCTAACATGATAGTTATGCAGCATTGTGCAATTTTACCGTTGCCTTTCTCAGTGCTATTATTGCTGAACCTATCACAATGCCTTGTTTGTGGTCCGTGAAACTATACCCATACATTGGAATTGTGTGGAATAACCTTTCTAGCCACCACAAAAGTTGCCCCTTTTCAATGTTGTGTATTATCGGAAACTGGTTATATACCTTGTTTCCTAGCAACGTCAAGAGCGAGACGGAGATCCTGTCTTACCTGAAAAACGGGACACTTGTTGGCCTTCTTCCAGTGCCCCATCCCATCCTTATTAGGAAGTACCAGGTACTTTAATTAGTAGGTGTGGTTTCGATATCAAGTGGGCGTGGTCACACACTAGTAGGCGAAATTTCCCTTGTGCGTACTTTTACTAGTCATTGTTTATACAGGAACAACACCCTCTCGCATTTTCCCATGATGTAATGCCGTATTTACTCCATAGTATTTGTACACGGAGTATGACGTAATGTAAATCTGTCCCCCAGACCAGTGAGAGTACAGAAATGTGGCTCCACAGCTACATTTGGGGAGTTGTCTACGTGAGGTGAGGCTTCTCTGCCACAAAGACACACTTTCTCTGTCCTGCTTGTTCCGATATGAAAGTAATATTAACTCAAAATTACCTCCGTGAGAGCCACTACATTGTCAAATTTTTAATTATACCACACGTTTGCGGAAGTTTTCTTTAATTAATGATTCCCACCAAATTGAACCGCTGTAGTTTTTATGTAAGAAGAGTCAGATACCAAAAAACGGGTTTTTCTTGTTCTCACTGCAGGAACTACGACCCGCCCATCTGGTATGACACGACAATCAGGTTATTCCACGTCCACAAACAGGACGGGCTGGAGGGAGACGCGCCGGCCGAACGCTGACTCAAATTATAACACTAACCCCTGTCCATTTTCAATTTCACCACCAAAATGAGTCTTACTCATGATCATGATTGTACATTAATTAATTAAACCCTTTCATCACTGTCTAGTTTATACTAACGCACCATCAACAAGTCCAAGACTTGGCGAATTATGAAAAATGACCACAAAATGTTTTTTATTGGAGAAATGCAAAAATGGATAATTACAAAAGTAAAAAAAATTTTTAACTCATGCTCGATTGGACCTTCTCTCTTAATTATAGGTAAACCTGTATGATGCATTTTTGTGGCACTGAGATGTGGGCACCTAAAATTTTGTGTGGGCGGTCACATAAACTTATAAAAATTATGATGAAACAACGTGGCTGTTATACATGCTTGTAATGTTGCAACATGTATGATGACTGATGAAAAAATTTAGCAAAATATGACGTATTACGGATGATGAATGAGCAGCTATATTATGCGTTTTAAAGGAGTTCAGTGCCAAGGCCTTTTATTTCTTGATCCGTGCTGAGTGAAGAGTTGGTTGCATAAAAACAGAGTTTGTATATTACAAATTTGCAGTAAATGGGAGAAGGAAGCATTACTGAGAGTTTGCTATAAGTTGAACCGTCGAGTTTTTACTGGAGACCATTTACGATGCCGGGTTGGTGGGTGTGACTGTGGGTGTGGTTTTGGACCTCGCCCGAATCACTCGTCATCCCGGAGATATGGTTGGATGTGCCCGCCCCGTTTTCATCAGATTTCAAGGTCACCAGACCCTCTGTGGTTACCATGGCAGCAGTTGCAACGGGACTTCCCCTTTGCATATGGACACCCTGGCTTGACAGGGCCAGGACGGCGGTGGTCGGAGGAGCAAAGGGGTTAACGGTGAGCACCGAAGTTGTGGGGTAAGAGGCTGCGACAGCTGGTGGAGATATAACGCTCATCAAACTTCCTCCAATTGAACCTTCTCCCTTCAGCACCACCTCCAGTTCTTGCCCGTCAGCCATCCTCTGAACGTCTCTGTCCTTGCGGACCAGGACGTTGGGCAGCTTGCGGATCTTGGCCACGTCGGAGGGAGACAGCTCCAGCTCCTCACAGCAGGCGGAGACCAGGGCGGGGTAGGTGGGCGGAGCAACCTCCACCTCCACGAAATCAGACTCTCCGCTTCCACTGACCCTCACCTTCAGCAACAGTGGGGAGGGGTGGGGGAGTGACGGAAGTTGGAGAAGACATGTGGTCTGAGAGGGAGGGAGGAGAGAGAAAGGGAGAAAAGAGGGAGAGTAGAGGGGGAGAAGCAAGGGAAGGACGAAAGGAAGAAGGAGAGGAAGAGGAGAGGAGGAAAGAGGGAGGAAGAGATAGCAGAGAGGTTAACCCCACAACAGAGAAGCTGAAAATTAGATACACAATACTAAGAAGTAGTCTTAGACTGCATCCTTTCTGTAGTGACACACAACCCATGGTTTCATGTCTTTGCCACCGCCCAAACCCCCCCTCGGTTGACCCCATCCCACTAAAACCAACTTTAGGACGCGGAAACCATAGTGTGTGAAAGTATATAGAAGCTTCGGCTCCACCAAATGGTGGCGGTGGAGAGATTACGAGAGCTTTGGTTGGGACAGCAGGAAACACTATCTTAGATTTGGGGGGTTGATTGAGCTGTAGGAAACTGTAATTGAAGGAAAGGATAAGACACAATGAGAGTTGGTTTTGAGCAAACATCCTTCACATCAAAGGCAGCAGGATGTCAGAAAATTTCCCTCCTTTTGTCACGCCAACCACCATTCAGGCTTCACCTGGATATATCTACTGCATCACCAACGGTGCTGCTAAAGATTACATCATCAGAAGCGAAGTGATGGAGTCTGTCTAGACACTTCACCTGTTGCTAAGGATTACATAATTGGTAAGATACATGTGCTTGTTGCTAAGGATTACATCATCAGAAGCGAAGTGATGGAGTCTGTCTAGACACTTCACCAAGTTTGTTGCTAAGGACTACATCATTGGTAAGATGCATGGGCTTGTTGCTAAGGATTACATCACCATAAAGTCTACACACATTACCAAGGTCCATTGGAGATTTGAAGGGTATTGTGAAGTCACACAGTTGAGTAGACAAAGGGGCAAACATGCCATACAAACACCACTGCACCCACAGTAACCTCCTACCAGGATCCTCTACAACAGTCAGGTATACATTGCCTCATGGGAAGCACCTAACAGTTGGCATAAGCACCTACAGTTGGGCATGCGTGTGTATTCTCCCTTACTCCCGTCTCCTTTGTTGAATCCCAACTCTGTGTTTGCACAATTGTTTATGCGTAATAATATACCCATGAAGTTGTATGCATTCCAATGAAACACACAAACTATGCCACAAAACTACTGTGGCTTGGCGCTAGAACAACTCTACAGAGTAAAACATTCAATGCTATGTCGGATGAGTTGAGCAGCCCACAGACAACAGCCAGTACTGAAAATGCCAACTGCCTATCAACTTTCATCAATAGCCAGAGAGAGATATCAAAAGCCGATCTTATCAGAGATTTCCATTGAAAAGTAACGAAATTGTAGTAAATTCTCCCTTCTGCCAAGTTGAGGTCTAAAAGAAGGCAAGATGGAGAGACAGCGTTGCCAAAAACAAGCCCACCTCACTCTTTGTCTCTCCCCCCACGTCAACAAAGCAGCTGCCTTTCAGGACATAGTTTCAGGACAGCACATAAAATACCAGGACACGGTTTCGGGACAGGGAAAAGGCGGAAAAATCTTACACCAAGTTTTTACAGGCAGCTGCTTCAGTCAGCCTTTTCCCGCTATTTAATCACCCGATTAACACTCATCAGTTAGGGACAAGAGGAGAGACACTAGTTTCTTGTAAAGCCAGAATCCAGCTGCAAAAATGTTCTCGGTAAAAGATCTAAAAAGGGGGCTCTACTAAAGTGCCACCGCGAATGGTGACATTCGACGACGACGCTGGAGCTAGTAAAACTGGTTTAGCGAGGCGGGAATATGTGTCACTCGGGCGACTTAGTCTACACCACGTTTGTTCAACTCGTGCCCCTCCCCCTCCTGGTAGCGTGTGGTCGATAGTGGGAATGGAGGATTCCTGGAATCAGTGAGTGATTCAGCCCCCTAGTAGCACCCTGAGACGGCAACACCCACTCTGCCTCCCCTAACACGCCCACCACTAGATCTTACTACACACACAAACAGGTCAGGGTCTGATGTTGTTTTTGATACACTCAGGATCAATCGAAACCATTGGCCTCTGCTGGACTGTTTGTCTAGGCCACTTCTTTGCATTTCGCGCGGCACCTGAATAAATAAATCAATGACTTTCATTCACTGGAACAATGCTAGACTATTGCACAGCCAAGTTTCTGTTGCTTCTGAGCTGCCCGTCACTTTAAAAAGTTCCACGATTCAGTTGCAAGTAAGATTTTTATTTTGCGGAAACTAGATGCAGATTGCTACACAGAATGTCCCTGTCCACAAAATTTGCATTAGTTGGCCCTGGAGTTAGCAGCATAAAGAAGCAGCAAAGTTTCCCCTCAAAAGTTGCCCCATACTGTCTTCCATCTGCTTCCCAGCCCTTACAATAGAGGGTTGCCACTCTACGTTTATGTCTTCTTCTGCTTCACTTCTTCCTCCGCTCCTTTCAGGCGAGGTGATGCAGCTGTTTTGCGACCGTGCAGCGTGGGGCTTTCCTCAACGAAGCAGCCATAGTGTCTCTCTTTGACCTGGGACAAGGGCCCTGCCAGTGGAACCCTTCCAATCCAGACACCAGTGGGACGGAAGGAAGTGTCGCCCATATTAGTGAGGTGTCCTTATTTCAGGGGTTAACATTATTGTTTGGAGCAAAGAATCTGCTCATATTTAAGTTCAAAGGAGCCGGTTCACATTACATCACTAGTTCAGTATCTGGGAAAGAGTGCAATAAGGAGCATACAGCACTGGCCCCAGCAGGTGTGGTAAGGAGTATACACCTCTCTCAACTAGTGTGTCATACACCACCATCAACTGGTGTATTAGTGGTGCAATAAGGAGCATACACCACCGTCATCAACTGGTGTATTAGTGGTGCAATAAGGAGCATCAGCATGGCCCCAGTCAACTGGTGTATTAGTGAGTGGTGCAATAAGGAGCATACACCACCCGTCAACTGGTGTATTAGTGGTGGCAATAAGGAGCATACACCACCACGTCACTGGTGTATTAGTGGTGCAATAAGGAGCATACACCACCATCAACTGGTGTATTAGTGGTGCAATAAGGAGCATACACCACCGTCAACTGGTGTATTAGGGTGCAATAAGGAGCATACACCACCGTCAACTGGTGTATTAGGGTGCAATAAGGAGCATACACCACCGTCAACTGGTGTATTAGGTGCAATAAGGAGCATACACCACCTCGACTGTTGTACTAGGGGTTTGATGTGAAAACAGGCTGGAAATGGCATCATACCCAGGGTTTCCCCCCTCCGACACAAACAAGAAGGCCTACTATCCCAGGATGGAATTGTGGGAAAGTGGCAAGAACATCACACGAGACTTCTGTTGAAAAACTACCCCACAGGCCCCACTAAGTCTAGCTAGTGGCTCGCAAAGGGAAAGACTTACAAGGAATCCTTCAAAGCTGACTAGCTAGTGGTCCACCATAGGGGAAATTTTCCACAGTCTTACAACGAAATCGCTGCCATGATTATTACGTCTGTGCATACCAAGTGCCCCTTACAACGAAAAGATAACAATCCAAAAGGGTGTTAACACAACAAGACCTTATGCAGCCTGTAGTTTGGTATTCCTCTAACAGTAGACATCGCTAAGGACACCCCTGAAATGAGGACACCTCTCTAATAAGGACGACTTTTCTTTCCCCAGATCCTAACCAAGAACGTCTCACCGACAATTCTGTCCTATTAGTGACAGGATTGGAGGGGTTCCATTGTAGTAACACTAGTTGTATCAGAGTGGCAGACAAA